CCACATCTCGCTAATCTCTGAGGTTTTAGGAGATTTATACGCTCTCCTGTAATTGGTAGGGTTGACTTTCCCAGAATATTGCTAAGGCTAGACCCTGAAGACAATAATATTTGAAAACAACAGCAGTAACAACAAGGATTCCACGTAGCTCCAAAAATCAGGTAAAAGCTGGAGGGAATGTTAGAGGAAAGATCGAGGATTAACTTGCAAACTCTGTTTTCTCTGATATCTGGATCTAGGTAAATTGTCTACCACCTTGTCTGCTGGATCACTCATCACCTACACATTTTATAAAAGGTTACCCAAAAAGAAATTTTTAACCAGGAATCTTAACAAGCCTTTAAACGCTAATAAGCAACAGACTCTGGTGTTTGCTTTTAGTTACTCCTAACAAGCAGAAGAGTATCAGTCATCAACTTCCTAGGTAGCTGTAGGGAATACCTCCTTATTCCTACAGTAAGTCTATATGGACAAAAACTGATGTGGCCATCACAAGTGTGAACACCATTATCATTGCCTTCCTCCATGAGCTCTCTTCGGTGAAAAAAATAATTCAGGTCTTTTGAAAACCCTCTGGGATCTGCCTTTTCATATCCAGGAACCCTGTGGGCTTTTTCTGATTGCTGCTTGATAGTGCTAACTATTTTTTCTGTTTTTTAATTTTTAAGTGTTTGTATTTTATGTCAACCTCCTCAGTGAAGTTCATACAGTATACACAGCCATACTCTACAGTCACATGTCTGTCTGAGAACTTTCTTGGCTTAATTGTGCTTCCAGAACATTCTAAATGAAAAGAATTAATTACATGTCATTTAACAAATAAAGTAATGGAAATTATTAGCATTTGATATATAGATAATAGCTAAGATTGATGCTTGGTAAAATCCTAATTTTCCTGTTTTAATGGAAAAAACAAAAAACACTTGTTTCTTCATCATAGAGGCAGCTGCCAGTCTACACAGAAGAATTTAAAGCTAAAGATACAGTAAAATCTTACCCAACAAATATATTTACAAAAAAGAAACTAAAAAAAAAAAAAAATTCAAGTTAGGTTTCACATTTCAAGGAAAAGTCAGCAAATAAGCATGATTTAATTGTCGGAAAGTTAGGCTTCAATCTGTGCACACCATGCAGACATGGGATCACAGTTCAATAGGAAGAAGAAAAAGAAAACCCGAGGGACCAGTTTGATTGTAAATGGGTCATTTTTCCATCCCTAAGAGGGTGTGGAAAGTCCATCTTTGGAGAGAGTGTCAAGAATTCTATTCCCATATGAAGGGTATAATTTGAAGGCCATTCTACCCAGAAGCACTGAGAGAAACTAAATGGCCTTCTAAATTATTGTTTTATTTGGTTGCATGTGGACTCAGTTCCCTTAAACAAAAGTTTGAAGCTTTGTTACCTCATACCTTGTTACTCTAACCAGCATCAATAGCCCATATATATATATATATATATATATATATATATATATTTTTTTTTTTTTTTGGAGACAGTCTCACTCTCTCTCCCAGGCTGGAGTGCAGTGGCGCTATCTCTACTCACTGCAACCTCCACCTCCTGGGCTGAAGCAATTCTCATGCCTAAGCCTCTCAAGTAGCTGGAACTATAGGCATGTGCTACCACACCCAGCTAATTTTTGTATTTTTAGTAGAGACAGGTTTTGCCATGTTGGCCAGGCTAGTCTGGAACTACTGACCTCAAGTGATCTGCCCACCTCAGCCTCCCAAAGTGCTGGTATTACAGGCGTGAGCCACTGCACCTGGCCTAATATAATATTCTTAATATTCTTACATTTAAAAAATGAAAGCAGAGGAATGGTGGGGGGAAGCTGACATTTTAAGAGCCCACTTCCTTGTAGTTATCATAGTTAATTCTTACTGTTACAATAAGTGGTAACTTGCCAAGGTCGCATTGCTAGATGTCAGAGCAGAAATTTGAACTCAGGTCCAGCCAAGGGCAGCACACTTCTCAGAAGCATTAACAATTCAGTTTGTAGCAGGAGCGGCCCCGGGAAACGGATCTCTTGGACACCGAATAGAGGAGGAAGGAATTTATTTCAGCTGGGAGCAAGGTGGCATAGGTGCCTAACAGCCAAGCTCGTCTAACAAAGGGAGGTTCAGCCTTTATATAGGCTTATACTTTAGATGTTACACGTGGAAGAATCTTAGGTTCATAGTTTTAGGACTCACATGTGAAAAGGTTTCTGTTTACAGTTTCAGGAATCACATATGAAACGGTTCTGGTTTACAGTTTTAGGGGACTCACAGGTGAAAAGGTCTCTGTTTACAGTTTCAGGAATCATATATGAAATGGTTCCGGTTTACAGTTTTAGGACTCACATGTGAAAAGGTTTCTGGTTTGATCTTGTTTTAAGTAAAAATAGTGCCTTCTGGAGAGTTTCCCCAAGGCCTAGCCTGTTGTTTTCAGGAAGGAGATTCAGGAGGCGCCAGCTGGCCTGCTCTCTCTTTTATTGAGATGCACAGTGGATGACAGGGGGAGGGAATCCCAGATGCCTGGGTCTCCCTCCTCAAGTTCAGTGAGTGTTTATTGAACACCTGTCGTGTTCTGGCCCTGTAGGTACTAAAAATATAACTAGGAATAAGATGGAATTTTAGAGAAACTTTCCCTCCATAACAGTATGTTTTTGTTTTTGTTTTAAATGTATGTATCTATTCTGGGTCTTTGTTACCAGGAAAAAAAAAAATGTGAGTTTGTATGTGTTTCTCTAATATGATCATCCCAAAACTCGTATCTTTTAGGTTTTCTTAGTTGGAGCCAATGGGTTACCACTGTTATCTCCATAGCACATATTCTCATGTTTTTTCCTACATTGCTTCAGGCAAACTTGTTAATTATGTTCACAGTGCTCTCCTGGTTCTGTGGTGAAACTTGGTCTGCTTCTTCCTCAGTGCCTCCTCTACAGGGCTCTGCACAGAGTGGGTTCTTAAATACAATAGATGCTTTGCATTTGCTGGTGTGGAGTTCAGTCTCAATTATTCACAAGTATTTGACATGTCGCAGTAACTAGTTTTCCTGGACTATGAATTTTAATTCACCTAGATGCCAGGTCTTCTCACAAAGCTGATGAGTGACTTAACCCATAGCCCAGAATCTCAACTTCACTTGCATACTTTTTTTTTTGAGACAAAGCCTCACTCTGTCACCCAGACTGGAGTGCAGTGGCTTGAACACAGCTCACTGCAGCCTCAACCTCTTGTGCTCAAGTGATCCTCCTGCCTCAGCTTTCAATGTAGCAAGGATCACAGGTGCACACCACCATGCCCAGCTAACTTTTTAAAAATTATTTTGTAGAGATGGGGTTTTACCACGTTGCCCAGACTGGTCTTGAAGTCCTGGGCTCAAGTGATCCTCCTGCCTCAGCCCACCAAAGCCCTGGGATTACAGGCGTGAGCCACTGCACCCAGCCCAATATATGTTAGTTCTTGAGAGGTGATTAAAATTTAGTTTCTTTTTTGAAAAAAGGTATCAAGAAAAAAAACTTTAAAGTTGAGAAAGTAGGCTTTGATAGTGTGGGGTATACATATGAGTGCCACTGGCGATTAGGTATATAAATGTGGGACAAGAAAAATTCCTGGAATTGTACTGAATTTTAGATTTCCGACTTTCAGTATTCTCAACTCTATGTATGAGAATATACCATATACTTAATGAGTCTTAATGATTCTCCCACCTCAAATAGAGGCATGTCTCCATGTTAAAAAACAAAACAAAAAAACTTTCATTTAGTACAGTGGTATTTATCCAGGGCTGTACAGCAGAATCACTGGGGTACTTTTTAAAAATACATATAGGAAGGCTGCATTCTAGACCTACTGAAACAGAATCTCCAGTATTGAGGCTTTTGCAAAAGTGTGCGAGATTATTCTGATGAGTACAATCCCTAATTTAAAGAGAGATTGCATTAAGAAATGCCATCTTTTATCAAGGTGACTCTGTTCAGTCCTCTTTAGTCAGATGTGCTGTCACTGTATACTTCTCCTGGACAGCTGTAGGGTGTGGTGTATTGGGTTGTCCTGCTGTGTTGTTTGACAAACCAGTGGCTTCCAGGGACTGTTTAATGCAAAGCAGTGTCATTAAGCAACTCCTCAAAAGTTCAAGGATTCATTATCCATTTTGTAGATTACTGGACCTTTATTTCCTCTTCCTCCTCTTGTCTGTCTTGAAGATTTTAACAATTCAAAAAAAAATAATTAAATGGATTTAAATCAATTGAATTTTTATTTGCCAGAGTTCTTAAAAAAAAAAAAAAAAAGAATGAAGGGATAGGAGGGTAAAGTTCATCTACAGTAAAAACAAATATCAAACACAGACATAAGCACTTTTTGTTGTTTGATTTGTTTACAATGACCAAGCTTACCGGCTGTATCTATAAAACTCCTTTCTTTTGAGACCTCAGAGTACTTTCTTTTTACCAGCATCCTAGGGACTAGGATGGGACTTTCTCCCCTCTCCCTTACTCTTCTACTTTCACTAGCAACCTGGGAGAAACTGAGGAAGTCTCTTGAGTTTTAATATTTGTAGTTGCAGTATTCACTCAGGGCAAGGTTGGGAGTTTGTGAACTGAAGGAAATTAATAGAATGAATTTTGAGATCCAGAGAGGCCAAATGTCACATAGAAAGTCAGTGAGTCCCTCCTAGAACAAAAGCCTGGCTGGTTAGTTGGGAGGGGGAGGAGAGGGAAGAAATTTTTAATCATTTTACATTTTACTAACTTCCAGTTTAAAACAATGCTGGCCCTAATGCCTCAAATCTAGTAAGTCATGGCATACAAAGAAGTGTGAACTAGGGCTGTTGCCTTTTGTGTAGTCAATTTTGATTGCTTTTCTTAAATGGCACCCACATCTCCAGCTGTGAAATTCAGCCATCTGATTTGAAAAGTGCATTTATAGATGGAAATAATACAAATCAGTCTCTTGCTAATGCTGTTTTCTTTTCTTTTTTCTTTTTTTGTTTTTGTTTTTGTCTCCTTTCTCTAGCATGAAAGACTTTCTAGGTAAGAACTCAGCCTGTTTTATATGCATGCTTAATACTTGTGAGTGGAATGCATGTCTAATTAAACCTAGCTGTATGTAATAATTCAGTAATGTTTCTCACATCCTTTCCTTCCTTTTCATTTCCACAGCCATCACAATAATTTACCTTCCTGCCTCCAGATTCTCCTCTTTCCAATTCACCCTGTAGACTTCCACTAGATTAATTTTTTTAAAGCACCAGTGTACCAGGCACCATGCTAGGTATTAGGGAAACAACATGAATAAGACAGTATCCTTAACCTTCAATTAGCTAGTGAGCCACTAGAGAGACAGATCATTTCAATAGAACTTAATCAGTGCCCATTAAAAGTATGACAGGTGTTCTGAGCACAAAGAAGAGCAGTTAACCTAATTTGGTGGTTCAGATTGAGGTTAGATACTGTTATTTAATAGTGGATCCAGCAAAATACCTTGTGCCTAAATGGTGCTCATTAGTAGTTTGTTGAATGAAGGAACTAAAGACCTCTTTTGCAATTGCTGAAAAATTAAGAAAAGATATCAAAGGTTGGGGAATGACCCTTTGCAGTTTTTCACCTAGTATCTAAGGTTACAAAACTGATCTTCTGAAAGAAGAAACTAAATAAAAAATAATAGACTACAGAGCCAAAACTTGGAATCTTTCTTTTTCTACTGTTCCTCTGATGGGTAAATTAAGAAATTGGGGGAAGATGTGGTTAGGGAGCATAGGGCAAATGAGTTTCCTTATACTTTGTTGGGTATTGAGCTGGTTCTGCCTTATTAATATATTCTAAATTTTACATAGGTTTTTCCCCTGCTTGTCCTCTCAGCAGGCAGCAGCTGAAGACAAATCATTTACTTCTAACCTAGCAGAAAATTACTTAGTTTTGCAAAATTGTTGGAGAGTGTTATTTTACTGTAGTTAATCTTTTGTGAACTCTCTTGTATTTATAATGGTGATTTGCGAAAGGAAACTTTTCCTCACAGACTTCAAAGTATGCTGTGAAACTGTATTGATTAAAACAGTGAAGCACTAGTTCAAGAATAAACAAAGAGACCTATGGAATACAATCCATAGCCCTCAAAAAATCACATGTATAAGGTGACTTCATCTCAATGAGGAAATAATTATTCAATAAGTGATCATTAGGACAGTTGACTGTCTGTTTGACCAACTATATCCTTCCCTTCAACCATACCAAAAAACAAACAAATGGATTTCAGATGGATTACAATTTGTAAGAGAAAGTGTTTTATCATAAAAGTTAGCAGAAGAGAATATTTTATAATCTTTATATAGGAAAAGCCTTTTCAAGTGTGATACCGTTACTGGAAACGGGCCCCAATTCAGACCCCAAGAGAGAGTTCTTGAATCTCACTCAAGAAAAAATTCAGGGAGAATCCGTAAAGTGAAAGCAAGTTTATTAGGAAAGTAAAAGAATAAAGAGTGGCTACTCCATAGACAGAGCAGCCTCAAGGGCTACTGGTTTCCCATTTTTATGGTTATTTCTTGATTATATGCTAAACAAGGGGTGGATTATTCATGCCTCCCCTTTTTAAACCATACAGGGTAACTTCCTGATACTGCCATGGCATTCGTAAACCGTCATGGCACTGGTGGGAGTGTAGTAGTCAGGACAGCCAGAGGTCACTCCTGTCGCCATCTTGCTTTTGGTGGGTTTTGGCTGGCCTTTTTACTGCAGCCCTGCCACCGGCTTTATTAGCAAGGTCTTTATGACCTCTATCTTGTGCCAACATCCTCTCTCACTCTGTGAATTAGAATGCCTTAACTGTCTGGGAATGCAGCCCAGTAGGTCTCAACCTCATTTTACCCAATCCCTATTCAAGATGGAGTTGCTCTGGTTCATATGCCTCTGACAATACCATAAAGATAAAAATCATCAAATTTAATTATCTAAAATTTAAAATTTCTAAGTAAAAGACACTATAAAGAGACAAAAAGTGAAGTGAGGAAAAAATATTTGCAGCCTGTATTAGTTTTAAAAGCCCTACTATATAGGAGGCTCCCCCACTATAAGAAGAAAAAGGTGATTACCCTACTGAACAAAGGCTATGAATTGACAATTCAGAAACAAACAAACAAAATGAAATTGATCATTCATAATGATTTTAAAATATTAGCTGGGCACAGTGGCTCAACGCCTGTAATCCCAGCACTTTGGGAGGCTAAGGTGGGATCACGAAGTCAGAAGGTCGAGAACAGTCTGGCCAATATGGTGAAACCCCATCTCTACTAAATAATACAAAAATTAGCCAGGCAGGGTGGCGTGCGCCTGTAATCCCAGCTACTGGGGAAGCTGAGGTAGGAGAATTGCTTGAACCTGGGAGGTGGAGGTTGCAGTGAGCCGAGATCACACTGCTGCACTCCAGCCTGGGTGACAGAGCGAGACTGTCTCAAAATAAATAAATAAAATATTTAAATTAATGCCATATCATATTTCTACTATTGGATTAGAAAGGATTAAATCTCCCTGGAGGACAATATGGCAATATATGTATATCAGCATTTAAAATATATTTACCCCTTGACCAAACAAATCTTAAGATTTATCCTAATAAGGTAATTGGACAAAGGCACTAAGGTTTATGGATAAGTCTGCTCATTTTAGCATTGTTTGTAATAGCTAAAGATTTTGAAAAATCTAAGTGTTTATCAATAGAAGATTAGTTAAATTACCTTACAGGCATGCAATGGAGAAGACTGCAGTCTTTTTTTTTTTTTTTTAATGAGGCAAATCTATTTTTACTTAGATGGCAAGATGCCCACAATCATAGTGGTAAGTATAGAGAGGAGGAGGAGTTAGACAGCAGTGTATATTATCTGAATTTATTTATAGAAATATGTATTTTAACATATTGATATACTTGACATTCTGAAAGGGTATGAACTAAACAGTTAAAAGTGCTATTTCTTTTTCTTTTTTTTTTCTTTTCTGAATTTATTTATAGAAATATGTATTTTAACATATTGATATACTTGACATTCTGAAAGGGTATGAACTAAACAGTTAAAAGTGCTATTTCTTTTTCTTTTTTTTTTCTTTTCTTTTTTTTTTCTTTTTTGAGACAGTCTGGCCCTGTTGCCCAAGCCATAGTGGAATGGTGTGATCTTGGCCCACTACAACCTCTGCCTACCAGGTTCAAGTTATTCTCCTGCCTTAGCCTCCCAAGTAGCTGGGATTACAGGTGTCTGCCACCACGCCTGGCTAATTTTTTGTATCTTTTGTAGAGATGGGGTTTCACTATGTTGGCCAGGCTGGTCTCAAACTCCTGACCTTGTGATCCTCCCACCTCAGCCTCCCAAAGTGCTGGGATTACAGGCTTGAGCCACCATGCCTGGCCAAAGTGGTTATTTCTTAGGTAGGATTATGGGGTGACCCTTTCACTTACAACTTTACATACTTCAGTATTAACTTTTTCTACAAGCATATATGGCTTTTATAATCAGGAAACTCAATAAAGAGATTTCTATTAACAAAAAAAAAGAAAAAGAATGTTTTGAAGAATGTGGGACTTAGCATCTCTGTAAATGAAAAGTGTATTGTTATTAGGAGCTAATTACTTTCCCTCTGCCTTCTCTGTGTCTTCCTTATTGCTCTTCTACCTCTTCTAGTACTTACTTCATCTTCGTAGCTACCACAGGACAGACACATCAGATGCAAGTTTCACATTTGCGACTCTTCAGACCATCCCAGTTCAGGTTGTAGCACTCTGCAGGGCTGATTTCAGTTTCATAAGTGCTGCCTTTTAATTTGTTAAGAGCAAAGTCTGAGAAAAATATAAAACAGTGTTAAGGATTAGGGTGATAGTTGTACACTTAAACAGGTAATCAGCCGAGAGATCCCTCTCTTAATGAGCTTACCAATACTGGAAATAAAAACGCTATCAACTCTAAGAGCTCAGTTACTAAAATACGTAGAAAATCTAATCACAGGCACAGCAGTCTTGATGTGGAATATAGATAAAATGGTAGAAAACTAGCTCATTGGGCACTGTGTTAGTATCCCTAAAATGTTTGGGATTCCAGAAAACCTGTAGAGCACCTAAAAGACGTATGTACCATGCCCTTAGTGGCTGTTTCTTTCCTATTCAACCTCCAACTCAGATCTCTAAGTCCATATGTTTCTGATTCATTGACATTTCATTGTAGTCATTTTTCCAAGAGCCATTGAAATTCAAGAAACCTTAACTTTTGAAAGCACACTTTTGAGGGAAGCTGTTCAATCCTAAACTAATTTGAAAAGCTCTTAAGATTTAAGTCAGCACATAGGTCCAAACCACTAATTTTTCGATAAGCTTCATTCTTGGCAAATGATGGTCGGCCTCCCTCTCCAAGTTTGTGCAGTTTAGCCCTGAGGTCTGGGAATGCTGGCAGAGGATTGAAGGAAAGAATGTTATGAGTTGTTTCTGGCCAGGGCTCTGAAATACTTAGCAAAGGCTCAAACTCCCCTGGAGCATTACCTCCCCCCGCCCGCCACCACTTTGTTCTCAAAACCAATTTTTACCTTTAATATTATCTCCCACAGGTTGGAATCAGGAGGTAGTAATCCTACAACCAGTGATTCTTATGGTGACCGGGCTTCAGCAAGAGCCCGTCGGGAGGCCCGGGAGGCCCGTCTAGCCACCCTGACCAGCCGTGTATAAAAAAGTAGGCTCTTTATTCAATTTTCCAGTTCTTGGGTGATGTATAAACCTCTCAGCCTTTCCCCACCGCACCCAGAAAAATTACTGTAGTTTTGAATAATCAGAAGAAAAGATAAGTAATAATTCCTTGCAGTTTTCTGGGTTTACTTCTCCTCTGCAAAAAGCTAAGGACTCCTTCATATATTGAAGTGTGTTTTGTTTGTTTATTTGTTTTTTGAGACAGGGTCTCACTCTGTTACCCAGGCTATGTGCAGTGGTGCAATCATAACCAACTGCACTCTCGAACTCCTGGGTTTATGGGATCCTCCTGCCACAGCCTGCCGAGTAGCTAGAACTACAGCCATGCACCACCACACATGGCTAAATTTTTAATTTTTTTGTGGGGATTGGGTCTCACTATATTGCCCAGGCTGGCCTTGAATTCCTGGCAACAAGCAGTCCTCCCACCTCAGCCTCCCAAAGTGCTGGGAATACAGACGTGAGCCACCATGCCCAGCGACATATTGTTTTTAGTGCAGTAAATACATAGAATCAGATATTTGGAAGTGTAAGAAATTAAGACTATAAAAAGGATTTTAAAAACCTAATGCTGTCTCTCTGAGTCCCTGAGAATCATGTGGTAGACTGTTATTTTTAACAAACACATGCTTCTAATAAGGTCCTGTGAATATCAACTAAATACTACTTTGTGTTAGTTAAAAAAAGAAAAAAGAAAATCATCATCACTTTACAGTTTATTTCCTTTGTTCTTATAGAATAGTACCTAGCTCTAAGAGTAGATTTTAAAAGTTTCCCTTTCAGGTGTTTGAGATACCAGGAAAAAAATATTTTTGTTAAGAAAAGTTTAGGATGGGCATGGTGGTTCAGACCTGTAATCACAGCATGTTGGGAGGGTGAGGTGGGATGATCACTTGAGCCCAGGAGTTCAATACCAGCCTGGGCAACATAGCGGGACCCCCATCTCTACAAAATATTGAAAAATTAGCTGGGCATGGTGGCTCATGCCTGTAGTCCCAGCTATTCAGGAGGTTAAGGTAGGAGGATTGCTTGAGCCTGGGACGTCAAGGCTGCAGTGAGGTGTGGTCATGACACTGCCCTCCAGCCTGGGTGACAGAGCGAGACCCTGCCTCAAAAGGGAATAAAGAGTTCCTGTTCTGTTAATGTTTTGTTAAACAGAACTTGACTAAAATCAATACACATGCTAGGCTGGTTCCAAAAAAATAATTCTCTTTTTCATTGTTTTTTTGAGCAGTGAAAATGTCCCATAGGATAAAATGGAATGACTGTTTTTCCCCCAGAGATTAACATTATTGAAGTTGGAGCATCGTCATTCTCTTTGTGTTCATCACTTTGAAAAAGCAAGAGACCAGTTGGCTGAATGTACTCTGCTCCCTACACTTCCTTCATCTTCTCTATCTACTATACAGTGGTGGCTTGGGGCACAGAGCCCTGGGCATTCTCAAGTGATGAAATGGTGTGAATTCTAATGTGAGCCCTGATCCTCTTTTTCGCCCTCCTCTAGCTCTATGAGAGTGCCCTGACTGAAAATCAAAAACTGAAAACAAAACTTCAGGAGGCCCAGCTAGAGCTAGCAGATATAAAATCCAAGCTTGAGAAGGTGGCCCAGGTAAGAGGGAAGAAGAAGAAAAAAGATGGGAACCAAGGGTTGATGTAAGGAAGCAAACTGGACTAGGGCTGTAAGGGTCAGGAAGTGAGACAGAGTCAAGATCAGGCCTTCTCAGGGGCAGTGACACAGAAGCTTCTTAGATTCTAATTTGATTTTAGGTTTCAGTCAGTGTTAAAATTAAAAACTGATAATTCCTGATGGTCTGAATTCTAATTATTAATACTATAGATCATCATCTACTTCTTTCTTAGTAGAAAAGTATAAACCAGAACTACAAAGCTAATCCTAGACAGTTTCTCTTGTCTTGTTCATTATGTTTCAGTTCAGTTTATCTACACATCATCACTGGTAGAGAGACAAGCAAGACACTGTTAAACCTAGGGCAGAGAGGTAATAAATTAAGCCTAGAGAAATAAGTGGTTTGCTTATGCCATACAACAAATCAAAGGCAAAGGTGGTGTCACAACATAGGATTAAGTCCCGAAGCAAAGATTCTGTAGCATATGTTATCTCCCCAAGCCACTACTCTTTTTCAGCCTACAAATAAGGAATATTAGTGGCAGAAAGACTAATAACCCATATCCTCTCACTGCCAGGTCTGATTTAATTAGATGATGCTTTAGAGGACGCTGGAGGTAATAACCTCATCACCAGTGAAACAAACTGCTGAAAGCTAAAGCAAGCACTGCCTTAGGTTATTGCTGAGTTAACAGGAAACCTATTATTTCCCTCCTAGAATGCCTGGGGACTCAGAATTTGAAAGCTGAAGTTAAATGATTCTTTACCAGGAAGGCTTGAAATGAAAACCAGAGGTGGCTAGTCATTCTGGCAATATGACTGGCTATAAAAAAGCAAAGGCTAAAATGCTAGGGTTGTACGGTACCAAGTACATGGAGTTTGGAGGGCAGGGGTAGCTGAGTACCCTCTAATCATCCTATTGTAACCCTTCTGGAATTGGATGAGCAGGAGGGTGCCAACACTTGCAAGACACCCCCACAGAGCTACATAGAACCCTAGCAAGACAGCCAGGATGCTCACTTTCTGGAGCAGGGCTTGCCCAGGTACAAAATGGTTGGCCTGTCCTGTGAACTGCCTGTCAGCTTAGAAGAGCCACCCTCTTCTTCCTGATTATAGTAGCCCAACATGGCTCTACTGGAAATTCCTGAGACCTACTGCAACACAGATAGATAATAACTAGGCTTAAAGTGATTTCATGGAATAAGAAAAGTAGGTTTCTAAATGTGAAAGAAAAAAATATACATACATAGTTATAACCCTGCCTTAAGGCAGGCGGGTGGGCAGAATAAATCTTAAGGTCTCTTCTCACTCCAACATTATTAATCCAGGCAAACAAAAAATGTCTCATTCACAGTAGACCCTCGGAAGAAATCTGGGACTAATTTTTATTCTGAATGGTGCCACATATTGGCAGTGGTTTGTAAATACAGATCTTATGCTGGTTCTCATCAGTTATTACTAGGATTGTTTCACAGAAAATTAAGGATCAGTCATGCAGTCATGTGAGGAACCACAAGAAGAGCAGTTTCACCTGCTCCCCACTTTCCTCAGCAGAAGCTTCTGACAGCATATGTCTTGACCTTTAGGGGTTCTCAGCATTTCCACCAGCCCGTGCCTTATAACAGTGAGCAGTCTAACAAGCTGCTGACATTGACTTGCACAGAGGGCATTGAAAATAAAATCAGCCTTTCCAGTTGCTGGAGAAAAGCATTTACTCTCCGGCCAACTGCTTTGCTGGGTGTGTCAGAATATACTTAGTTTTGCCAAATACAAGTTATTGAAATTCAGAAGAAATGGTGCTGCTGCAAACTGAGTCTCTGCTGTTTACCAAAAATGGAGTTGTTTGGCAGGACAGTGGAGGGAGGGCTTGTCAGCCTCACACATTTGTATGGAGACAGTTACCATATGAGCATACACAATATTTTTATATAAACGATCCACCCATACTCTAAAGGAGTCAAAATTTGAAACAGAACAAAAAACTAGTTATTTGTGTATATAAACCTTGAAAATCATGAAATCATCACAGCTTCTACAGCTCCTTAGGCTTAGGAAAGAAAGACTTATGAGAATATGAACAAGCTGTTGAATCTATTTCTGCATTTTTTTCTTTCCCTTCTGCCTCATAGTAGATGCAGCATAAAGGCAGATGGCCATGCCCTTCTGAACTGAAGGTGAAAGCCTGGAACAGGAGACAGAATTCTGAGTTTTACTGTTAGTTCTGGCCATTCCTTAATTAAAAAAAGAAAAACCACTGCAACAAGACCAGCATAATTTCTTTTCCTTTTTTTGAGACAAAGTCTCACTCTGTCACCAGGCTGGAGTGCAATGGCGCAATCTCAGCTCCCTGCAACTTCCACCTCCCAGGTTCAAGCGATTCTCCTGCCTCAGCCTCCCGAGTAGCTGAGATTACAGGCACGCGCCACTACGCCCAGCTAATTTTTGTATTGTTAGTAGAGACGGGGTTTCACTATGTTGGCCAGGACAGTCTCGATCTCCTGACCTCGTGATCTGCCTGCCTTGGCCTCCCAAAGTGCTGAGATTACAGGTGTGAGCCACTGCAGCTGGCCGACCAGCATAATTTCTATATTTATTTAAATATTGTCTCTGCATGACACTAAGCAAAATAAAAATAATCACCCAGCAGTTATTAAATGTCTACTGAATGTTAGAAATTCTGCTGAGTTCTGTGACCCTACAGCCAAAAGGGACTTAAGGGTTTTTCATTCCCTTTTTAAGAAAGGGTCATTATCTGAGGTTATTCTGGTTTTTAGCCATGAAGCTAAATCTTTTCAGCGCCTCTGCAAAATTTAAGTCAAAGATGATCTAAAGTAAACATTCTAAATCTTTTATTCAAATAAAATTACCTTATCTGAAAGCTGAATATTAAGACAGATAAAAGTGGAGTACCTCTGTTCAAAGCAAGGCAGATGCCATGAATGGACTCCTAAGAACCCCTAAAAGCCCATCCACGTATGAAAACCACTGCTTTAAAAGAAAAATGGTATTAATTCCCAAAACAGAAAGAATAGGGGAAAGGCGATTATTTAGACAAGTGCCATTGGCCTTAGACATTCAAGCTCAGGAGCTGCCAGCCTTTTAAAGAAAAGCCATTTTTTAATTTCCTCTGGGTTGTGATATTATTCATAGAATGAAGAGGGGAGAAGAATGGTGAGATATAAGACTATAATTAGCATTGAAGACCTAGTGGAAGAGAGAGAGATTGTGTATTGTGAGTAATGTCTTTGTAATTTCAGGGAATACTACTACTGCCTTCTCCTCCTCAGAGGGAATCCTGCAAACTTCAGAGAGGTGATAATGTTAGGCTTAGAGATCTATCAGAACCTATTTGCTGGGGGTTCCTGCTCTAGGGGAAATCCAAAGCTTTACTGTTTATTTCTAGATGTCCAGTAGTGAAGCTGAACTAGACTGGGCGTTGTACTGGCCCTGAGACAACTTAAGTAACAACTGTTTTTCTTCCATTTGCACCAGCAAAAACAAGAAAAGACCTCTGACCGATCATCAGTGCTGGAGATGGAGAAACGGGTATGTGCACGTCTGTTTTCCCCCATTTCATCTCTTCTTTCTGACTCTCTCTAACTTTGTTGTTCATGCCAATGGAAAAAGTCCATCTTAAGAAGGAGGGAGTTCTGCCACATTCCATTCCCAGCTTGCTGATAAATTCTTTTTGTCTGACTCTGGGCAGTAATTTGATTGCTAGTCCTTTTGATTTCCTCAGATGTCAGTACTTTCCACATATTCAGTCTTAAGGTGGGGAAGGGTCCTTGGAAGGTCATCTCATACAATGTTCTGACTATGGGCAGAACTGCATATACACACAACCCATAACATTTTTGGTTTACTGTATTGCAGACACACACACACACACACAGCAAGGTCTCTTTGGTTTACTGTATTGCAGACACACACACACACACCCAGCAAGGTCTCTTTGGTTTAC